CACATGCCTCTAGTTCCAGCTCCTTGGAAGGCTGAGGCGGATTGCCTGAGCCTAGCAGGTCGAGGCTGAGGTGGCTGGGAGCGTGCCACTGCACTCCAGTCTGGGCGCCAGAGTGAGACTCCAACTCAAAAAAAAAAAAAAAGTAGGAGTACACTAAAACAGTGATGAAAGTATAGTAGGAGTGACCCTTACTAATCCTTCCTGATCCTGAAGTGGATTAGGTGCCACTGTTGAATTTAGAACGGTAGCCAGACATGGGACTGGAAGACAAACAAAGGATGCTGACTAGGTCTGGAAAACCCAAGGAGAAAGAGGAGGAAGAGGAGGAATTAGTGGATCCCCTAACAACAGTGAGAGCAATGTAAGCAGCTGGAGACATATGTAAAGGCCTGGGAACAGTTAGAGCTCTGTGATGAGCATGTATCCTCTCAATCACATACTGAAGAGGACTGTACAGAGGAGTTCTTTGACTTCTTGCATGCAAGGAACCACTGCATGGCCCACAAACTCTTTAACAGCTTGACATAAATGTGCAGACTTGTTCATCCCAGGCTTCATCACCCTGGCATTAGGATATTTCCTTATGGTTTTGAATATGCCATTTGTTTCTATTTGTGTAACTAAGTTCATATCAACCTTATAGATTTTGGCTTAGGCAAATAACTTCTGTGTAATTAGCAGTGATTCCATCTTAATAAAGTTCTGTGCCCTGCAAAAATCCCAAACAAATGGGTTTATGTATAGTGAATACATAAACCAGTAATGTAGTTGTTTATCGTCATTATCAAGTATTATGTGGAGGACATACTACTGTGCTAGACTTTCATAGAACTGTCAGCGCAGAAGGTTTGTTCACCAGCATCACTACAAACATGTGAGTAATATATTATGCTATGACTTTATGACCTCCACAGGCCACTAGGCGACAAGATTTTGTTCACTCGTTATCATCTTATAGGGCCACTGTAATATATGCAATCTGCTATTGACTGATGTGTTGTGATGCATCATGCAACAGTACATCCCTGCTGGGTGATCCTTAGACCCCATCATGTTTCTCCAGCTGTCCCAGTCATGTCTTTGAGAGTGGAAGGATCCAGTCCAGATTCACACATTGCATTTAGTTGTTCTGTGTCTTCAGACTCCTTCAGTCTGAAGTAGTTCCTCAGCCGGAAGTTGGGCGGTTTTGAAAGTACTGGTAGTCATTTTGTAGAATGCCCATCCATTTGGGGTTGTCTAAGGCCTTGGCAGGAATCTCGTGGAGTGATGCTGCGTTCTCATCACAGCCTCTCAGGTCCTGCCAGCATTGAATTAGTCCCATTATTGATGGTGTTCTCTGTGGTCACTTGATTCTCTCTGGAATGAATTTTTGTGAGCAGTTACTTTGAGACTATGCAAACATCCCATTGAGAAAGACTTTCTTTCTTTTTTTTTTTTGGAAAGCAGGATTTATTGAGAGGACAGAAATGTTCTCACAGTGGGACGGGGGCCAAAGGGGTTGCCCCAAGAATTTCTTTTTTAAATAATTAATTAATTTTGAGTCAGGGTCCCCCTCTGTCACCCAGGTTGGAGTGCGGTGTGGCACAACCATGGTTCATAGCAGCCTTGACCTTCTGGGCTTAGTCAATCCTTCTACCTCAGCCTCTCATGTAGCTGGAGCCACAGGTGCACACCACTATGCCCAGCTAATTAAAAAAAAATTTTTTTTGTAGAGATGAGGTCTCGCTATGTTGCCAGGCTAGTCTTCAACTCCTGGGCTCAAATAAACCTGTAATCCCAAAGAGCTGGGATTATAGACATGTGCCACTGTGCCTGGCCTTTTGTTTTGTTTTGTTTTTTTGAGACAGGGTCTTACTTTGTTGCTCAAGCTGGAGTGCAGTGTCACAATTATAGCTCACTGTAACCTCAACCCCCTGAACTTAAAGGATCCTCCTGCCTCAGCCTCCTGAGTAGCTGGGACTACAAGCGCACACCCTCACCTGCTAACACATCCAGCTAATTATTTTTATTTCTTATTTTGTAGAGACAGCATCTTGCTGTGTTTCCCAGGCTGGTTTCAAACTCCTAGACTCAAGTGGTCCTCCCACATTGGCCTCCCAAAGTGCTGGGATTACAGGCATGAACCACCACACCCTGCCAGGAATATCAGACTTTCAATATTCCCTTACTTACTTACATCTATGTCTACTAGTGGTTTTCCATTTGATTCTGTTATTTGATTCTGTTTTAATGCTTAAACTGCCCCCGATTTTGGCCACTGGAAGCTTCCTCAAGCTGGGTGTGTCCTACTGATGTGTTCATTCTGTAAAAACTTCCTTGTTTTCTGGTAAAAACAACATATTCTGGGCTCATTTTCTACTTGCCCTGCCCTCGTGACTGGGATCAGTCATTTCTCCCAGGTGCTCTGTTTCCTTTAGTGGAAAGTTGTATTCAGAAGCCAGTACTAGCTGGGCTTGGTAGCTCAGCCTGTAATCCCGCGCCTTGGGAGGCTGAAGTGAGTGGATTGCCTGAGCCCGCGGGTTTGAGACCCGCCAGGGCAACTTGGTGAGACCTCATCTCTACAATAAATCAAAAAACTAGCCAGGTGTGGTAGTGTGCGCCTGTAGTTCCAGCTACTGGAAGGCTGAGGCGGAAGGATCACCGGAGCCCAGCAGGTCGAGGCTGTGGTGGCCGGGAGTGGTCTCTGCACTCCAGTCTGGG